AATGGGCCACCAAACATCGCGGCCATCCAGTCGCAGCTGGAGATGAGCAGGGGCTTGTGAGCACTGATAGCACCGTCATCCAGCACGAAGGTGACATCTGGGGACAAGCAGAGGGATGCTACTGGGACTGTCCCCATCACCCAGGGCTTGGCCACCCCCTGCCATGAAATGTCTCACACTGGGGACAGTGGAGGGAAGGGGACAGAGCCTGGCATAGCTTAATTTGTCCTAAAAATCTCTATTTTTTGCTCCAGCATCTTCCACCAGTTCAGAGAAGGATCCTGGTGGGACTCCTGCTCTTCCCAGGGATTTTCCCAGGGCACACCATGACACGTTGGAAAGCAAAGGGAAAAACCCAGGAATCAAACATCTCATCCAACCCTGAGCCCTCAGGAGAGCTGAGAAGGACACCGGGGATCTGCTCCCTACTCTGCTCTCCACCCTGGATCAGGGTTTTTCCCCCTGGAGGTGGCTTCTCCTCGCCAGCACACATCTGTCCCGTGACAGTGACATCTTGACCACATCAAGGTCCATCCTCATGAAATAAATTCAGCTGGAGGGAGGTTGGGTCATTCACACCCCCTTGGGACGTCACCCCGCAGTATGACAGCACAAGCTGGGGAAGTCCTACCAAGGGCACATCGCTCCTCGTAAATCAGATGACCCTGTGAAGATCTGGGCTTGGGAAGGAAGGAAGGAAGTTGCCTTCACTGCTCTCCCATAAATAAACAGAGCTTCAGGTGGGTGGGGAGCAGGAAACCCTGGGGAAGGACCATTCCACTCACACTTTCTTGGAAAAAATAAAGCTGTAAAAATCCCCAAAGTGCAAAAAAATAACCAAGAACCCCAGGGAAGGTGAGCGAGTTTCTGCTGACCCACACACGGCCACCCGGCTCACGCATCGGCACGGGGCAAAGCCAGGAGCTCCGAGCCCTTCATCCACCCCACAGAGCTCCTCACAAGGGAGAAGGGTGCGGTGGATGGTCCTGTCCCTCATCTAGGAGTTGTACCTGAGAAAGTCCCCTTGGCCAGGCATTCCTTCACCCGGTTGGTCCTCCGGACATGGAAGGCTTTGGTGATCTCCTGGTTCATGAACGCCTCGTTGTTGAGGATGTTGGCCACCATCATCCGGAGGTCAAAGACCTCCAGCAGCTCAGCGATGTGAGCAATGTGCATGAGGTCCCGCTCGTTCTCATCCAGCTCCCCTGTGTACAGGTACTTCAGCACAGCTCGGAAAGGACCTGGCTGGATAGAAGCATCCATCTTCACCACCACCATGAGCTTGGACTTGTAGGTCAACGGGTCTTCTGCCATCTCCTCCTGTATGCTGGTGAAAGCCCGGCTCCAAGAGGAGAGGTCCCTTCCCCGCCGCAGCCCACGCTCCCCATTCTCATAGCGGTTGCCCCGTAGGATCCCATCACTGGTGGAGGCTCTAAGGCACGGTTTTCGTTGGCCAGATCCGGCCTCCTCAGTGCTCTCGCAGATATCAAAGCTAGCAGCTCGGAGGAGAAAATCCCGCCCGTGGTGCCTCTCCTCTTGGTGCAGCATCCGCTCAGCGGCTGCGGTGATGGCCACCCCGAAGCCGTGCCCCGCGGTGCTCTGCTGGTCCTCCTCGCTCAGGTCCATGAGGAACAGGTCGTAAAATTTGGAGGAGGAGGTGGAGAGGTAGATCTTGTGTGCGTAGATTTTGATCTTCTCTTGCAGCACCAGGATGACATCTGCGC